TCTAAAGTATACACAATACCTCTGCACATCGCTTAATGGTAAATATTAAACTTGGGTGTGGGTTTACAGGCGTCTTCTCAGGCTATTGCAAAACGGGGCTCTTTGTCTTGTCTTTGTCTCATTTCCCTTCCTGGGAGCCTCTTTGCTAGCTTGAATTTTATACAGCATGTTGTAAACTATAAATAACACAGCTCTACTTTCCTAGAACATAGCATATGGAAACTGTCGTCTGCTGTATGTCCCGACTGTAGTTTCAATTTAAAGACTGAATAAAGTTAATCCCGTGTGAAACGGCGTTGGATCGTGTGTGTGTGTGTGTGTGTGTGTGTGTGTGTGTGTGTGTGTGTGTGTGTGTGTGTTTTATTAGTTGAAACCGGGTATGGAGGAACACCAGGAATTCTTGGTGTCGGGAACGGAGCCCATAAAAGGGTTTACAAGGTGTGGTTTGAAGGGAGCGAGGCCAGGAACAAACGCTGGCGGGAGGGCCTGGAGGAAGGAAAACACTTCCTGAAGAGGATGGTCCTCTCAGTAGCCACATCCTCTCATCAAACGCTTCCTGTTTGGTCTTAGGCCGTCATTGTCGGTAAATTATTTTTCCTATTCAATTTAAAAGCATCTTCTCTCTCCTCACTGAAGCTAAGAGCCAAATCAATGACTGAATGTAACAGCTGACTCCACTTAATCTTCCGATAAATATCTGAAACTTCGTTAATATTTATAAAATCATGTCTAGGTTAACTTTTCTTTTTCAGTGTGATCCCCCAAAGTAAGTATAAGGTAATGAACCGAAGTCCACAACCATCGGGCCTGGAGGTTCTTTATTGGGGTTAGTTGATGGGTTTGTGAAGGAGGGATGGTGCTGCTGACTGACAGCTAGAAAGGAAGGGGCATCAGGAGCTGGGATGTGTCCTTTTTCCACGTAAGCTACAGCATCCCCCTTTGTGTAAGACAGCACGAGTAAGACATCTAGTTTCTACATACAGAAATAGTGAATGGCCTTATTTTGAGGGGGAGTTACATTTTTAAATTTAATTATAAGGATATTGTGATGGCTACTTTTATCTATGTCAATTTGGCTAGGCCACCATACCCATTAACACTAGTAAAGTGTCTTCTCTTTCTATCCATCCTTCCTCTCCCTATTGCTTCCATTCTTATCTCTGTCTGTCTCTGTCTATCTGTCTGCCTGTCTCTCTCTTTCTATTTTGAGGCAGCATCTCACTATAAATCCCTGGAAGACCTTGAATTTGCTATGTAGACCAGGTTGGCCTGGAGCTCATAGAGATGCACTTGCTTGTGGTCAGCAACATGTACCTGCACTCTAAAAAAAAGATTCTTCCATTGCCTTCCAGCCTACTGGGCTGCCTTGCAAAATTTGGTTTTGCCAGCCTTCGGAATTGCATGAGCCAGTTATTTAAAATCAACCAAACAATCGAGTCATTGATCGCTTTCTTTTTCTAATATTAGTGTTTTTCTAGTGAACTCTGACTAATGCAGGTTATCTACTCCTGATTCCTGGTGGAACCATGACCTTTTTTATCTCTCAAATTCCGAGTAACTTAAATCAGGTGTGGCATTGATGATTAACCCAACCTCTCTCCAGTAGTTTGAGATGGTACATCACAGCAGAAAACAATCCAGTCATAGTCTCTCCTCACTCATGTGGTGATATTTTGTTTACCATCTAATGGAGCTTGCCTGAAGATCAGAATGCCAAGTTAGCCACAGCTATTGAGGCCAGGCACTGGTGGTACACACCTTTAATCCTAGCAGCCACACTAGTTAGCCATAGAAACTGGGTGGTGGTGGTGCACGACTTTTTTTTTTTTTTTTTTTTTTGGTCCAGCCTCTGCCTCTCAACTGCTGGGCTTAAAAGTGTGTGACATCACTGCCTAGCTAGAGTTGTCCTTTAAGCAATTTTTATTTAGACAGGATTTCTCTATGTAGTCTTGGCTGGCCTGGAACTTGGAAAACCAGATTGGCTTTGAACTCAGACATCACCCAACCTCTGCCTCCAGTGTTGGGATTGAAGGCCTGTTCCATCTTAAAAAGGAATTTTAAAATATTACCTGCTCTAGGACATTCAGAGAAGGCTTCAAGACTAGCATATATTATTGAGCAGGTAAAAGAGCAGAGTATTTTCCAGGAACAACATGTCTCTGAGGTGGTTTTGCTCCACAGATCTTTGTAAGAACAGTTAACTACTTCAAGGGAAAAATAAAACCCCAAGGCAAAAACAAACACCAATGAAGTACTTCATAAGTTCGCTGTGTTCTTTTGAATTTCTATTTAAATTTATAGCCCTGTTTGGTCATGGCAAGCATATGCCTCATAATGAGGCTAAAAACTGCAACTCCATTTTCAATGCTATCTGAAAACACTTTAATACATATTGCTTATCATAATGAAGCAATGCAAGGGAGCTCTTAAGACAGGATTTATCTTTAAATGTGAAGCAGACAAACAGACTCTCAAACAGACAGAACTCCCGAACACTTCTAGGATACAGAAATCTGAATTTTCTGTTAAGACTCTATGCTGGAGACAGCCAGTCAATCCGTTGTGACAGAATTCCTGTGCTGCCTTCCCTGCATCTCTGTCTAGCATCCAGACTTCACTCTCCAGGATGCCTTCCCTCAGCCTTTGACCAGCTTCGCAGAAAGTAACAACAGTCATGATTTGTTCTGCCAGCGGCAATCTGAAGGACATATATGTTGTCTGTTACTGAATCAAGACATGCTGAATAATAAGGAACATTCATGGAGTTCAACACATGTATGCTACGGACACATAAAGAAATACCCAACTGCCACTAATATAATGAGTTTACTTTATTGTAAAAATTCCCAAAATACACTTGCTGAGTCACCCATGTATAGGGCTTGAGGATAGTTTTAACAAAGGAATTTATAAAGTTATTTTGGCTTAAAGTATTAAAGTACACAGAGTTACAAAAATATTAGAAGAAAAACTGTTAAGTCAGAGTCAAGGGTTGACATACAACACCCCTACAAGACTACGTCTTAAAAGTACTTAGGGAAAAAGATACTTTCTTTTCAGAAAACTTTAATCTTAAGGTATGTTTAAGAAATACTACAAATCACAAAGCAACAATCTTCTCAAAATTTACCTGTTTCACAAATAAATCAACCCAAAACGGAGAGGACAGAAGAAACAGCTTTGGAATTTGTACTTATATTTCTATATTTAGATCTATGGAGATCACCTTAGTTTTCCTAGTGGAAGACACTAAATGAAAAGTTAGCCTAGTCCAATTAAAAAAAAACAGTTAATATAAGACATTCTAGTAATACCATAAAGGTTCAGGCATGTCCCCAAAAGCACAGAAAAGAAAGACAATATATTTAACCAATGTTTGACAGAATTTTAGAGCATTTACATGTGTTATAACACTGTGGAAGTCTTTGGTGGTAACACATGGAGTAAGATCCCTGAAAACACACAAGCAGGTAGTTCTGCTCCATTCCTGTTAGCGAAGTGTTTCTTACCAGCAGTGGTGGCAGGGTCTCATGTTTTTAGCCATCTAAAACACACAGTGATATGTGTGGGTGGGACCTGGGGCAGGGAAGTGAAGTGTCTTTATGTAATTGCTCAGTTAGCAATCAGCTTATTTCTGGTTCCCTTTTGTTTTTCACAATTTTTAAAAAAAATTAAATTATGTGTTTGCATGTATATCTGTGCATGCAGGTGCCGCTGGAAATCAGAAGAGGGTATCCTATATCCTGGATCTAAGAACTGAACCTGGGTCCTCTGTAAGAGCAGTATGCAATCTGAAAACACTAAGCTATCTCTCCAGCTGTACGTATGGCTCCCTTAAATGCCAGAAAGGAAGAGGGAGAGAGAGAGACATATAGACTATGTCAGTTCTTATGCTTAAGCAGTGGGGTTAAGTCAAGGCACTATGGTCTATGAATACATTTACATGTCTTTAAAAAAAATCATCAGCGGGGCGTTGGTGGCTCACACCTTTAATCCCAGCACTCGGGAGGCAGAGGCAGGCAGATCTCTGTGAGTTCGAGGCCAGCCTGGTCTACAGAGCAAGTTCCAGGACAGCCTCCGAAATAATACAGAGAAACCTTGTCTTGAAAAACAAAAAACAAAAACAAACAAAAAATCAGCAGACTCAAAGGCAGAGAAACAAACAACATGACCTGCTCCAACTTAAAGAAACAAAGAAACTCCTGTAGCTCAGTATACAAAGTTCAAAGGAAAGAAAGGGTGTGCTGTGACACCGTGACTGTGGGGACAGAACCAAAGCATAAGAGGCAGGATAGATGACATCAAGTGCATCAAGCAAGTCAGTGGCAGCGATATGCCCAAGCAGGGGCTGGGAATGAGAAGGGAGTGAATAGGGCGGCCAGCGTTAGTTCTGAGCCAGGCGGTGTCTCTGTTTAGAGCATTTTGATTCTACAAGGTAATAATTCTCCCAATTTAAAAAAGTAGGGCATGGTGGTACATACCTGTAATCTCAGCACTTAGAAGGCTGAAGCACGAAGAGTGTCCATAAATTTAAGGCTAGCCTGGGCTACATAGTGAGTTTCAGGCTGGCCAGAGTGAGACTTTGTCTCAAAACAAAATAAGCTGGGCCTGGTGGCACACACCTTTAATGTCAGCACCTAGGAGGCAGAGGCAGGTGGATCTTTGTTAGCTTGAGGCCAGCCTGGCCTACATAGTAAGTTCCAGGATAGCCAGGGCTACACAATGAAACTCTGTCTCACAAAACAAAATAGCCAAAAAAAAAAAAATCGAAAGAGAAAACATAGTATATGAACCCCTTAAAGGATGGGTAAGTTTAAGCCGGGCGGTGGTGGCGCACGCCCCTTTAATCCCAGCACTCGGGAGGCAGAGGCAGGCGGATCTCTGTGAGTTCGAGGCCAGGCTGGACCGATAGCCTCCAAAACAATACAGAGAAACCCTGTCTCATAAAAAACCAAAAAAAAAAAAAAAAGGATGGGTAAATTTAACTAAATTTTTTTTTCTTTGATTCTCAGATTGAACTTGCCTATGTCAAGCATGGTGTCTGTCTATCAGCTCCAAAGGGCAGGTTTAATACTGAGACTGGACTTCTAAAAGATAAAATGGTGCCAACCAGTCCCCGTGGAGACAGAGTAACTTACTTATCCAATTGCCTTATCAGGCCACACTGCCTCTGCCCGGGAAACCAAGCATGCAGCATGGCATTTGTACAGAGCAGGACACGTCCAGGAAAAATAAATAACACTCTTTCCAGTAATTTATTATGTGATTTTATAGATGATTGAATAGAAGTTAGAGAATCCTTCGACTAACAATGAGGCTGTGAGTCAAAGCAAAGCAGATGGAGATGTAAGATTAAATTTGGGAAAAAACTGAATTTTCACTTGGTGTTACACGTTAAGAATGTGAGTCAGTTTAGGAAATATTCAGAGTGGCATCAACAGGTCATGCATGAATGACACTCATACACCCCCAAGTAAACATTGTTTGATTATTGAGATTTTGGTTATCCATCAACTCAAATACACACGAATGCAGTCAGTAGGGCAAGCTGAGAAGAGACTCTGAGTTCAACCCCTCTAAATCTCTTAGATTAGAAAGGAGGTCTATTTCTGGGATCCTGTGCCATATAGCATCAACTATGTTTGACACTCAGCTTCAGGGAATAAAAGAAAAAGATTCAAATGATTTTAGTCACTGCCAGGTCCGTAAGCCAGCATCTGCCTCTGCCAAGCTTGAGAATGGGGTGTGGTCATTGGGCAATTTCATGAGTCAGAAAAGCGCAGTCGGGCAGTGGTGGGCATGAGCCTTTAATCCCAGCACTTGGGAGGCAGAGTCAGGTGGATCTCTGTGAGTTCCAAGCTAGCATGGTTTACAGAGCGAGTTACAGGACAACCAAGGCTACACAAAGAAACCCTGTCTCTAATCCCCCCCAAAACAACCAAAAACAAACGGAGAAAAAACTAAGTGCTACACTGGTCTTGACTGTTTTCTACACACATCAAATTCAACTGTAGAAATTAGTTGACGTTAATAACTTCTTATTTGTAAAGAATATAATTAAAAAATGGTTAGTCAGGTGTTATCCCAGCAACTGTGAGGTGGAAGCCGGAAGGAAGACGATCAGGAGTTCAAGACCACCCTTGGGCTACAAGAGACCTCATCTCAAAAAGCAAACAAAAAGTACAAATTTAACTCAGCCATGTGTCCCTACTACAAATCAAGTGAATTTAATAAATGGTACAAGGACACGGGAAAGGGAGATGATGCACTTCAAGGCATAGTTTTGACACGTCAGAGTATCACAGACAACAAAAAAGACAGCATCAATAAAATCTAAAGTAAATGTACAGGTGCAAAATAAGTAAACAATTTCCAAGTGTGCAAAACCAGCCAGGAAAGTGCTATGTGGACACCTGGTTTTCAAATATCTGTTTCAAAAACTTTTAGCTCATGGTGGAAAGCTTCCAAGGCTTATGTAAAGGACATGTCACCACTTTACAGAGTATGTCTTTGTCACAACACTGGCTGCTCAGTGGCTGTCACTACTCTCTTGTGACAGATGCGGGTGGCACGGATGGGCGTAAACAAATGCGACACCAGAAGGGCAAGGTGCACCCTGAAACAGAGACTTTTCAAGTATACCCTGGGTCTATGTTTTATCCTCAGATCGCAGACACTCAATGCTGTTGAAGACATAAGATAACATGATTTTCTGTAACCACTGTCTATACGTGTACATTAATAAACCTCACATAACTACATTTAGCAGTTCATATCTAAAAGTCATCGTTAAAGAAACACGAACTATTTAAAGTTATTAATGTAAATCCTGTCATTGCCACAATGGGAAGATTTAAAGTGTTAAGTCCTGAACACATCGAGTTAGAAAATGAAGCTGATCTGCTAGGATTATTTGTCTTGAGATAGGTGAGGTGTAGACACTAGAAATACACCTGTGGTCTCTTCTTCACTTTGTATTTTAGTGAGCCATACCGCACCTGAAGAAAGAAAAGTATTAGTATTAACAATAGGTAACCCAGGAGTGTAGGGGTGGAAGAGGCAGGCAAATGTTGGTGAGTTTGAGGCCAGTATGGTCTACAAAGCGAGATCCAGGATAGCCAGGACTATTACATAGAGAAACCCTGTCAGGAAACAAACAAACAAACAAACCAACAAGAACACAAAACCCCAAAAGAAAATAAAACAAAAGGTAACCAAAAATAACTATGCATTAAAATGCCATAAGGAAATGTTACTTCGTATACTAGTTAAAACTGACCTAAACTAAAACAAGCAAAACTAAACAGACTGATTACTTTTTAAAACTAGGTAGGTTTTAATAATTCATCGTCATAGTAATTGTTTTACTCTTCTGACATAAAAAAAAATCAGTTTTTGGGGGAGGCCAGGCAGGAGGACTGTAAGTTCAAGATCTACCTGGGCCACCGAAAGAGCTCTGGGCCAGTCTGGGCAACTTATTGAGACCTTGTCTCAAAAGAAAATGTGCTGGGAATGAATCTCAGAAATATAGTGATTCCATAGCCTTCATGGGGTCCTTGGTTCAAATGCCAGTACAGCACCCCAACCAACCAACCAACCAACCAACCAACCAACCAACCAACCAACCAACCATCAAAGCAACGCTTTTGCAAGTTACAGCCTTACTAAGAACACCCACAGAAATGTAGCTGGTGACATGATGGGTGTATGCATACACAGGACATTCCCAATCACAGATGAAAACACTGACTTATTTACATTTTGCTGAGCACAATGTCAGTCAGTGAGCCTCAGCACAATGACACCGTGTGACTACAGGTAAATGTCTACTATTTAGTCATCATGTATGGCTTGCTGAAAGCAAAACTATATAGTCAATTCTGTTAGCAGTTTTTCTTGCTTATGTACAGGACAGCAACAGATATTCACAGTAACTATGGGTTTTGCTAGGTGGGAATGCTGCTTTCTATGTAGAGAACAAAATAAGAACATTGCTATTTCAAAATTTCCATGGGGAAAAATGTCCCAGAGATCCCTAACACACTTGTTTTTTTGTTTGTCTGGTTTGGTTTTTCGAGACAGGGTTCCTCTGTGTAGCTTTGGAGCCTGTCCTGAAACTAGCTTTTGTAGACTAGGCTGGTCTTGAACACACGGAGATCCGCCTGCCTCTGCCTCCTGAGTGCTGGAATCAAAGGCGTGTGCCACCACCGCCTGGCACACACCTGCTTTTAATAAAGAATTTTAACTACAATGCTGCCCTCTCATTTGAATCCTTCGCTCACTGGTCATTTAATGCATTTAATGACAAAGTAGAAGGAAAACCCTCACACAGATTATTATGAAAACAATTACCCAATGCACACTGACCTCCTTCCGGCCTTTGACGGTCTTGACAGACTTCATGCTCTGGGTTCGTCGTAGTCCCTTGTGAGTCACCATCTCATCATCTGAGAACGGCCCCTCTGCTTCTTCATCCGTTTGCTCGTTCCCATCTTTCAGGGGAACTCCGTAGGCTGAACAAATGGTCAAGAACAGCATGTTTTTGACAGAGGACACTGGTTAGCCTGCCCTTCGTATGGCTGGCATGAGGGTCTATCTGGGGGTCTCTCTTCTTGCTCATATGAAAAGGTGCTCCTGGACCTTCTCAGTGAACTTTTGCCTTGTGCACTACTGTAGATAAAGATCACAAGACTCATTTCCTCCATGAACTTCTCGCTGATCGGGCTTTACTTATTTGCCTTATTCATTTTTGGAGATAAATCTTGTTCTGTAGCTCAGGCTAGACTGCAATTCACAGTGATGGCACCGTGGCCAGCAGCCCATTCTTATTGTGAATATTTCTATTTAAAAAAAATAAGCCAGGGGGGATAACGGGGGAAGGGGGTTGGGGGGAGGGCATGGGAGGAGGGGAGGGAATGGGAGAGGGACCTGGAACTGACTTGTGAAGCAACCTCGTTTCTTATCTAAATTTAAACTGGAAAAAAAAAAAAAAAGCCAGGGCTGGGCGTTGGTGGTGCATGCCTTTAATCCTAGCACTCTGGAGGTAGAAGAAGGCGGATCTCTGTGAGTTCGAGGCCAGCCTGGTCTACAGAGTGAGTTCCAGGACAGCCTCCAAAGCTACAAAGAAACCCTATCTCAAAAAACAAAAACAAAACAACAAAAAAAACCCAACAACAACAACAACAAAGGCCAGAGGGCTGGGGAGCCAGCTCAGTGGGTGAGAACACTTGTACAAGCATAAGGAGCTGGGTTCAGATCCTAGAATTCAAGTAGAATCTGGGCATGGTCCTCCAAACTGTTGAAACTCCAGTGCTGTGTGTGTATGTATGCCTGTGAGGTGTGCCCAGATAGAGACAAGAGAATCTCTGGGGTTTCCATGCTGTCAGCGTAGCAAAAACACATGCATCCCAGGTTGAGGGAGAGAGCCTGACTCAAGGGAATGCGGTGAGAGTGACAGAGAAACACACGCTACACAGTCTGGCATTATACACATGGGTAACGTTAACTCAGGAAGCAGAGAAGGGCTGATGTGTCTTTAAGGTCTGCCTGTGTTAAAGGTGAGACCCCATGTCAAAACAGGGCTGGTAAGGTGACTTAGCCCGAGTCCAAGAAGACACACAAAAAGACAGAATGACAGAATGACTCCAAAGTTTTCCTTTGACTTCTAAGTGCACAATAATAATATCTAAAGACTTAAAGAGCCGAACTCAGCCTGGCGGTGGTAGCACATACCATACTGCTTTAATGCCAGCACTTGGGAGGGCAGAGGCAGGCGGTACTCTGAGTTTGAAGCTAGCCTGGTCTACAGAATGAGTTCCAGGACAGTCAGAATTACACAGAGAAAGAACAAAACAAACAAACAAGCCAAGTCCAAACACCAACAACGTCCCCCCATCTCCTAAAATTTTCTAAACAGTGAAGCTAATACCCACACCCTGCTAAAAAGGAAAAAAAAAAAATCAAGGAAACCCAGAGAAAAACCACCATTTATACTATGAAGTTTCTTTTTTGCCCTCACACAAATTGTACAAAAACCAAATGTTGTGTTTTAGGTTGTCACTTGTGCTTTTGACTTTAGTTAAAACCCAAGTGCCTCCCCCACTTGTCACATTGTTGGTCAACACTGGGAATTACAGGGGATTGCAGGAAAGATGCAAAGGGGCTATAATTAGAAAGGTGAGGTCACTGGGGCATGATTACAGTGCCGGTCAAGCCTGGGAGATTTCAGTTGACAGAGACCACAGGCCATAAGACAGATGCCAGAGGAAATACTCAGGGCCAAGACCAGCCAGGGACCTTGGGGCCAGCTAACAGGCTGTTATGTGGACCTGTAAATACTTATTTTTGTTTGCTATGCAAGAATCCAGGAGCAAGAGCAGCACGCCATCGCTGAAGGGAAGGTCCCCAGATACTAGCTTGCCTCATCGGGATAACTTGTCAGTACATATAGCTGGGCTCCACCCCTGGAAGCTTGTGATTCAGCAGGCCTAGGGTGGGGTAGATGTGAGCATCTCCAACAAGCCCTGGGGGAGGATGACGAAGACCTTGAGAACCCAAACCTGTGGCTCCTGGCGAAAGCCAGACAAGGGTCAGTCTAAAGTAGTGAAGACAGAGGAGCGGGGATGTGTGTGTGCAATTACATGGTCCCAAGAAGTTTCAAATCCCTCTCTAATAAAGATAAGGTCCAGGAGGAAGCAGGGATGAATTTTTCTGTCAGGAAAAATGACGTGGAATAAATGTCTATTAGTCAGCTTGCCCAGGACACAAATAATTTGAGATTTACAATGCAAACTGTGAGCAGTTGCTAATACGCTTTTTACTCTCATAATAACATAAATGACTTTAATTATATATTAGGCGAGAACAATTTTTGACTGCCAAACATCTAGGCTTGAAATCAAGAAGGATTTGGAAGCAGAGTCAGGCATTATTTTGGCCAGAATCCTTTGTTTTCCTGTAGTAGTCAAAAGCAGCTCATTCCAGGCTGAAGGGAGGGTGAATGTGGAGGGCTGGGGCAGCAGAGGCTGATGGGAGGAAATCCAAGGAAGACAGGGAGATGCTCCTCATTTAGCGTAAAATGAAGCCATGTTCCCTCTCTTTGGAGAGGTGCCAGGGGGTATTTTGAAGGAATTTATGTTATTTTCTTTTAAGGATTATTTTAATTTTCATTATGTGTGTGTGTGTCTCTGTGTGGGTGCGTGCATGAAGTACAGGTGTCCAGAGAGGCTGGAGGAGGGTACCAAATCCATTGGAGCAGGAGTTACGGGAGGCCGTTAACTGACTAACATGGGTGCTGGACTAAACTGGGATTCTCAGAAAGAGTTGTATTTGCTCTTAACAATGAAATCATCTCTCTATTCCTCTGTTTTCTCAAAAAAAAGTTACATTTACTTACTAAGCATGAAAGTCATGTGTAGACATGTATGCTGTTCGCGGTCAGTCTGCAGGAGGTGGGTTTTGCCTTCCACCACTTGGGTCCTAGACATGTAACTAAGCCATCATGCTTGGTGGCAAGCTCCTCTACTCACCCAGCTGGGCCTTGTTGATGCTGACAGCCACGGGACCATTATATGTCCTGGGGAGCAGGCTTTTGCGGAATTTAAATTGTTCCCCATTTAAGCTGTCAAGTATTTGTTTAAAAAATCATTCTTGTATAATGAAGAAAATAAAGCAGAAAATAATTTAGAGGTTATCACTTCTAGAGAGTTTTCCACTGTATTATTTAATTTTTTTCCAAAATAAGGTGTTAGCCAGGAAGTTGTAGAGCACCCCTTTAATCCCAGCATTCAGGAGGCAGAGGCAGGCGGATCTCCGTGAGTTTGAGGCCAGCCTGGTCTACAGAACAAGTTCCAGGACAGCCAGGGCTGTTACACAGAGAAATAATCTTTTTCAAAAAACAAAGCAAAAACCAACAAAACAAAAGCAAAAATCAAAATAAGACCATTTTGTTATTTCTGATTTTGCGTATGAGTCATGGATCAAAACTAAACAAACAAACAAACAACAACACCTCCCAACCGAACAACAGAACACACACAGACGTACAAGCAGAAGCCCCAGCACACAGAGCTGGACAGCGCTAACCTTTGTAACACCCTCTGGATTCTCCAGTATGCACAGACACTGGAAAGGCTTCACATCTCTGAACGCCTGTCTGGCAGACTGTCATCCAAGATGATCAGTTTATTTTAAGCTCACAGAAAGTCCAAGAGGCTGGACCATTACTTCCCCACCCCACCCACCCCCAACCTTTCTAGGCTTTTGTAGCCGCCTCAACAAATCACCACCAATAGTGTCGTGAAAGCACCGAGTGGGATTTCTGCCAGCGTCTTGTGGGACACTGGATGTGGGGACTGCAGCTGCCAGGTGACTCCAGTTCCCCTGAGAGAGTCCACACAGAGAGGACACACAGATTAACACCTGCTGCTTGCCTTTTCCAAGCTCTGACAGGGACGCGTGCATGCGAGCTCTTGTTTGGGTGTGTGGCTCCAGCCCCAGCTGTTGTAGGAGCACAGCTGCATGAGACCCTGAACAGAATTACTCTGCTGAGCTCAGTTACCTCACATTCTGAGCACTGTGATTGTTATACAAAACTGGGGGTTTTATAATTGACAAGGGGAACTTTCTTGTTTTTTTTCTCCCCCTCCCCCTCCTCCCCTCTTTCTTTGTCTCCCTTCCTCCCTCCTCCCCTTCCTCCATCTTCTGACAGGGTATCCGCGTATAGCTCTGGCTAGTCTGCAACCCACTCTACAGAGTGAGACCAGGCTGCCCTTGAACTCAGAGATCCGCCTGCCTCTGTCTCCAGAGTGCTGGGATTAAAGGTGTGCACCACTCTGCCCAGATAATGAGATCATTTCTGATGGTTTCTCTTGTCTTCTTCAGGATGTGAGATGTGTTTTTCCACATTTTGACACAGGGTCTCCTGTAGCCCAGGCTGGTCAAAAATTGCTAGGCAGTTGAGGATGGCCTTGAACTTCTGATCTTTCCTGCTTCCACTCTTTCCAAAGCTGTGTGCTTGGATTACAGGTGTGTACCACCAAGCCCTATTTATGAACTGCTGGGGACGGAACCCAGGGCTTTCTGTATGCTAGGCAAGTACTCTACCAACTGAGTCACAGCCCAGCCTCAGGTCTTCATTCTTGAAAGCATTACTTTAACCAGGGGTCAGTTTGAGCACAACCTTCCAGACACTGTTCTTAATTTGTGTATATACACATACATATCTGTGCATGGGTATGGGTATGTAGTTCAGTCCCATGGAGGGCAGAGGAGTTGGAGTTAGCTGTGAATAAACGCTGGGAATTGAACCTGGGGTTCTTTCTAAGAGCAGTGTGCACTCTTAGCCAATGTCACCTCTCCAGCCCCAGCCTTTCACTTTTGAAGAGGAGCTATGGCTAGGTTCAGAAGCTAACATCTGGGAAGCTGAAGCAAGAGAATTGTCAAGAGTTCAAGGCCAGCCTGGGCTACATTACAAAACTTGGTCTTTAAAAAAGACAAAAGGAAAAAAAGGAGGGGCTGTCACTTTATTTTAAAAATTAGCAGCCGGGTGGTGGTGGTGCCTGCCTTTAATCCCAACACTTAGGAAGCAGAAGTAGGAGGATCTCTATGAGTTCAAAGCCAGCCTGGTCTATAAAGAGAGTTCTAGGAAAGCCAGGGCTGTTACACAGAGAGACCCTGTCTTGAAAAAACAAAACCAACCAACCAACCAACCAACCAACCAACCAACCAACCAACCAAAATTAGCTATTACAATCATCAAATAAATGATGACTTCCAGCCTCCCTCTCAAGAGAACTTAGTTTTTTTTTTTTTTTTTTTTTGGTTTTTCGAGACAGGGTTTCCCTGTGGCTTTGGAGGCTGTCCTGGAACTCGCTTGGTAGACCAGGCTGCCTCTGCCTCCCGAGTGCTGGGATTAAAGGCGTGCACCACCAATGCCCGGCGAGAACTTAGTTTTTGAAGGAATGATAATACCTTAATAAAGAATGTCCTGCAGAGGACCTGGGTTCAATTCCTAGCACTCACATGGCAGCTTACAACTGTCACTCCAGTTCCATGGGACCTGACACCCTCACACAGACATACATGCAGGCGAATCGGCAATGCACATACATTTTCTTAATTAAGTTATAAAGAGAATGTCCTCAGCATATTAGTTTTCGCCCTGGCCATGAGTGAAGACTGCTGCAGATGTGACACAAAGACGGAGGGACTCTGCGGGTTTGCGCACTTGCTTCCAAGACCACGCCAGTTCATTAAAGGCACGAATCACAGCAGCTACGACAGGCTTATCATTCCTGCAGAATATGCCTGCAAGCTAGCTGTGAATTAGTGTGCAACCTCGACACATTTTCCACTGGACTAATCTTAGTTTGATTTTGACTCATCACTTGTCATCTGAGTCCATGTCCTTACTCGTTCACAGCACTCAAAGTGCTTACCCATGAAACTCCTTAGACGTCAATCCCCAGTCTGAACAGAGAATGCTGGTGACCAGTCAGAACTAAAGTTGGGGTGAGCTGTGAACCATGTCCACAGTGCCTAAAAACTCACAGCCGCTCAAGAGGCCACAGCTCTGTTTTTAGCTACATGATCGATCCGCCTGCCCGCCTGTCCATCCATCCTTCTTCTTTCCTTTCCTTTTTTTTTTTTTTTTAAAGGTTTCTCTGTGTGGCCTTGGTTGTCATGGAACTTGCTCTGTAGACCAGGCTAGACTTGAGCTCACAGAGATCCACCTGCCTCTGTCTCCTAAGTGCTAAGACTAAAAGTGTGTACCACCCATGCCCTCTAGCTTCACAATTCCTCTGGACAGCAAAAGGCAAGTAGTAGTCTGACTTAAAGCCTGTGCACACTTCTGAATTCTATCCCTATGTTACACCAGGTGTGGTGCTGCACACCTGAGCCCAACACCTAGGGGGCCAGGTGCAAGAGGCCCAGCAAGTCCATGGTCATCCTTAGCAAGCCTGGGCTATGACACCCTGTCTGGAAAACAACACACAAAAAATAATAGGCCCCCAAAATATATGCTTAAATTAGGTAACTTCTGCTGATGTGGTTGCTTCCACCTATAGTCCTAGCACTGGGGAGGTAGAGGCGGGAGGATCAAGAGGTTGGAGACAGCCTCACCTATACAGAAAGTTTGAGGCCAGCATAGGGTATACAGGACTCTGCCTTGACAATAATGATATCAATAAGAAGGTGAGTTCTGTCCCCAGTACTATGTATTATGCAGCATCCACTCTGACCTCTAGCCCATTTATGAAAATAGGCCCCTGCACATTATAACAAATAAGCATACCTGCTGACTCACTGGCTGGTTTGCTTTTCCTCTTTGCTTCTGGCAAAGTCTGGTAGGGTCTCTGTCCCACAGGCTCATCACCTTGGATAGCTGTCAAATCATGCATGCTGAAGCTTCGCAAACGCTCCGTTATGGCTCCCTGGCTCTATTTAACAGAGATGTGATGAGACCCGAGAAAACAGAGACTTTCAAATACTTAATATTCTTATATTTGTCACAGGACACGTTAACACATTTTATTATGAAACACGCTAACATTTTGTCATATAAATAGCATCCCCGCATATCTTACGAATAAAGAAGCATTTGGAGAGGCTGATGTCTCCCGAGAATGCCACACACTGTTTACATCTGCTTCATGGCATCTATAGCAACACTAATGCAGTTTGCGGTTTTATGCATTTCAAAGTATGCCATTATATCATATTGTGTTCCAGGCATTTCAGCATTACACTAAACTCTGAGATGTGTTTTTATTTTTATCTTTTTAGGATATGAGATTAACTTCAGAGAAAACAGCACGCACAATTCTGAGCTATGGTTCAGTATTCTTGGTTAGTAACAGTAAAACTAGCTTCTTCGGGCTTAGCATTTATGACTTGGAGAAGCTCTTCAAGGAAAGACGGTGTTTTAAAACAAGCAAACCTAAGTCAGGAATGGTAACAGCTCTAACTAGAATGAGGTGGAAAAAGTTAAGAGTCAAAGAATTTTTGATATTCAACAATGTTCAGACAATGAATAATCCCTAAAGGCATGTTCACCACAGTATATTTCATTTCATCTTTATCATGTATTGTACTACAGGGGGGCAGCACCTTCGGAGGCCAGAAGAGGCTGTTTGACCCCCCTGGGACTGGAGGTAGAGGCAATGAGCCACCATTTGAGAGTTGGGAAGTCAACCAGGTCCTCTGCAAGAGCAATAAACACCCCTAAACCCACAAGCTGGCTCTCTAGTTCCTATTATCTTAACAACACAAGAGACACAAGCCATTATTTAAATGTAAATTAATTAGAAGGAAAACACAGTTCCATTGTCTTTCCAGACAGGGTTTCTCTGTGTAGTCTGATTGTCCCAGAACTTACTCTATAGACCAGGCTGGCCTGGAACTCATAGAGATCTGCCTGCCTCTGCCTCCTGAGTGCTGGGATTAAAGGTGTGCATCACCACTGAAAGGCTGAAAATGAAGTTCCTTACTTTCACTAGCCACATCTAAAATGTCAGTGGTTGCCCGTGACTGCCGTGGAAACATGACAGCCAGTGCTGACAGCATCTCCAGTACCACACAGCTTTCATGGGGACATTTATCTGAACTTCTAAGACATACTTCCTTAAACTATGAAGCTTTATAAAATGGAAAAAAAAATCTAAATTTACCCTAAGTCTGCATAGCATACGGATGATTCATTGTTTTATTTATAGCTAGACTAAAAATACTTGTCTCAAGGCGTTTTCACTGATTATGTCTTCTCACACATGTGAATTTCTGATTGCCTCCTTATAACATTACCATGGAAACTCATCCATAATGGTTCATCTCTAAACTTCAAAGTTAAAGGTGTTACAAACATTTGGGTGTTTCTTTTCACTTGTATTTTACCCTGAAGAATCAGCTCTTCAATTCACAAGTCGTGATTCAGTACTCTAGGTTACTGATATCATACTATATTAAACCACACGCTGTTTCTACTCCCTAGGTAAGTTTTGTATTTCTACCATATGTTTTGAATTGTGTAAGAACGTTTAAAGTTGGGGCTGGAGAGAAAGTCCACTGGCTAAGAGTAGTCACTGCTCTTGTAGAGGACCAGGGTTCAATTCCCAGCACCCACACAGTATATCACCTGCAATTCCAATTCTAGAGGATCTGACACCTTCTTCCTCCCTCCATGGGCACAAAGCATGTAGATGGTACATATACATACATAATGGCAAAACATTCCCACATAAAATAAGAAATATATCTAAGAAAAAAAGAATGTTTAGTGCTGGGTGGTGTTGGTGTCGGTACACTAAAGAGTCCAGGACTTGGGAGGCAGAGGCAGGCAGATCTCTGTGAGTTCGAGGCCAGCATGGTCTACAATAGCTAGTTGCAGGACAGGCTCCAAAGCTACACAGGGAAACCCTGTCACAAAAACAAGACAAAAACAAAACAAAAAACAACAACAAAAAAGTTTAAAGTCCATTTCCCAATTAAAATAAAAGGATTTCACACATTTAAAAATTATTTTTGGAGCCAGGTATGATGGTGTACACCTTTAATCCCGGCACTTGGTAGGCAGAGGTAGGCGGATCTCTGTGAGGCCGGGCTGGACTGACAGCCACCCTGTCTGGTAAAAACCAAAAAAAAAAAAGAAAAGAAAAAACAAACAAAAAATTATTTTTGAAGCCTGGTATCAGGTGGCACACACCTTTAACGTCAGCACTGGGAAGGTCAGCCTGCTCTACAGAGTGAGTTCCAGGCCAGTCAGGGCTACAAAATGAGACTATCTCAAGTAAATAAGTATATAGAAATTGTTTTGGGCTGATGAAGTTGCTCAGTGGGTAAAGGTCCTCTCCAAGTAAGTCTGGCAACTTGAGCTTGCTCCTCAGTACCCACGTAAGAAGGATGGAACGCACCTCACAGGTGTCCCTGCACTCACGGAAGTACCCACGTAAGAAGGATGGAACGCACCTCACAGAGGTGTCCCCTGCACTCATGTAAGTACCCACGCAAGAAGGATGGAACGCACCTCACAGAGGTGGCCTTACACTCATGTAAGTACCCACGTAAGAAGGATGGAACGCACCTCACAGAGGTGGCCTTACACTCATGTAAGTACCCACGTAAGAAGGATGGAACGCACCTCACAGAGGTGGCCCTACACTCATGTAAGTACCCACGTAAGAAGGATGGAACGCACCTCACAGAGGTGTCTCCTGCACTCCACATAAGAAGGATGGAACGCACCTCACAGAGGTGGCCCCTACACTCACACCTCTCTTCTGTCATGCACACACAACAAGAAATGCAAAAAGACCCTTGGCAAACTTAGTTCATTCTATTCATTTTCCATTAACCAGATAGCATTTCCTTAGTAACAAAGATGGGGACAAGACACTCCAGAGAGGAAAGTCAAGGAAGTGTTGTGCTCATCTATCTGAAGGAAACTCCACTTCCTCAGAACTGTCTGTCCTTTTCTTTACTTTGCCTTTCTTCTTTCCGTAAATCCTCTCAATACTCCTGGGACTGTTTTATCCACCCCATACCTACATGCAAACAGCATGCAAGTACATATATTATGACTTGGGTCTTAAACGTTCCTTCAAAGATGTACGTCTCCAGTTTGTAGAGCTATTAGCAAGCCTACAAGAGGTGGTGTCTAATGAAAGGAAGCCACTTGGTGTGCCCCTGAAGGCCATCCTGGGGAACCCAACCTTGTTGGTGTCACGAGATGAATGGACTGCTCGATTACCTTGTTTGTCACAGGTCCAAGCGACAGCATCCACCATCGAGGGACTAAAACCTCTTTTAGCTTTGGAGTCGAAATAAACATTTCCTGGGGAAGCTGATTGACACACTGTGTTTGTTACCCTCTGCCTGACTGGCATACAATTTCTACCATCCATTTATTTATTTAATTTATATGTGTGTTTTATCTGAATGTTTGTCTGTGCACCATATGGCAGTAAGACGGTGTGTCGAATCACCTGGAACCGGAGTTACAGATGGTTGTAAGCACCATGTGGATGCTGGGGACCAACCTAGGATCCTCTGAAACAGATGAGTCCTCTCAATGGCTGAGCCACCTCTCCAATCTCTTGAATGCAGTTTCTAGGGCTGGTTTTAATGAGCTAAAGCGCCCCTGAGTATTGACTAGGTTAGCCAATTGCAAGCTGCTGTGCTTTTAATTGGTGCAATTAAGAGAAGACTTACCTCACAAATGAACGAGAATGCTGTTGTGACTTCTCTATGTGTGTTTGCTACAGGAGCAGGATTTTAAGAAACCAGAAGACAGGGTGAGTCTTAGGCTTCTGCCCTACTAGACCATCTGGAATGGTCTTATGTTGAGCAGATCATCAACATGTAAACTAAGTATGCTTTTTATGACTGTCTTTTCTTTCTCCCAGCCTTACACAAGCCAGAGTTATTCAGGAAGAGAATTCTCAAAAGATAAAAATGCCTCCACCATATTGACTGCAGGCAGGTCTGTAGTGTCTTGTCTTGATCAAAGATCGATGTGGAAAGCACCAGCCCACTGTGGGTGTTGCCACCCCTGGGTGGGTGGTCCTGAGTTACACAAGAAAGCAGGCTGAGCAAAACATGGGAGCAAGCCACAAGCAGCACCCCTCTCTGCTTCTGCTTCAGTTCCTACCCCAGGCTCCTGACGACTTCCCTCCGTGACGGACTGTGAAAAGGTGAGGCTAAGGGTGTAGCTCAGCTGGTAGGGGGCTGCACGAGCATGCAGGAAGTCTCGGTCTCCATTCCCAACATGAAATAAGCAGGGCGTGGCGATGCATGCCTAGCATCCCAGCAGGCAGGATGCGAGGGCAGCAGGGTCAGAAGCTTGAAGCTGTCCTCAGCTACAAAGTGATTCTGAGGCCAGCTGGTGATGCTTGGGGCTACCCCAGGGGAAGGAAGGAAGGGGGCGGGTGGGGGGAGGGGGGAAGAGAAGAAAAGAAAGGGGGGGAGTTTTTGTTTTGTTTTGAGGCCTTTTGACACTTCCAACAGTTCTTACTACCTAGGGAAATCGGATTTCCATATATATATATATATATATACACACACACATATATATATATATATATATAGAGAGAGAGAGAGAGAGAGAGAGAGTGTGTGTGTGTGTGTGAAACACATCTAAAATGAGAACAGAGAATAAATGCATCACCGTGAAGCTGAAAACATTCCCTATGTTGTAATGACCCAATGGAACTACTTCAAAGGAGAGGGGTATAATTACAAAATAATCATATCCAAAGGGCAACTTGTTCACTCTAGTTTCATACCTTCAGCACAAAAGCCCATTAGTACAGGATTTATGTTTGCCATGCCATGTGAAGTGGAAACACCTCCCGCCCAGAATCCCAACCACACCCATGAAGCGGTTACAACCCTGCAGTACGTGGGAAAACAGGCAAAAAATAAAAACAGTATAATGTCTAGGTAG